CCGTGGGCCCAGCACTCACCTAGACCTGAAGCCCCCTGTGGGCCCAGCACTCACCTACACCTGAAGCCCCCTGTGGGCCCAGCACTCACCTATGGTGACCTCAAAGGTGATGGGCTTGTCTCCATTTCTCCGGTCAATCATTGAGGCCTCCAGGAAGGCTCCAAAGAGAAAGAATTCTTCCATTTTCCCTGCACAGCTCTGTGGGGAGGCAGTTCAAACCATTCCTGAGCTTGAGTAGGGGTGGAAGGTCGGGGGCCAGGCCTCCTTCCATCTCACAGACAGGCCCTGGGGGTGGATGGTGGGGGCATTCCACCCAGCTTTGGGGCCAGGCAGCCCACACCCCGATGGCCCTCCAGCCTGGATATCCATGGAAGCAGGGCTGGCTCCAGACACCACAGGGACAGCCATGGCTGGGAAGAGGGGTGGAGGGGAGGCACCGTCGTGAGACCTGGTGGCCGTCGTGAGATAGAGCACAGGCAGGCAGTGAATGAGGGCAGAGTCCTACTGGGGGGCTGAGTGGGGGCCTCTGCTTCCTGGCGAGGAGCCTTATCTTTTGGTCTGACTCCTCCGGTAGACAGGGCAGCAGCAGGCCAAAGTCTGGGACCCAGGTGTTTTGGGGGGAAGGAGGCTGAACTGGACGCCCTGGGGGACAGCACAGTGCCTGGGGTCTCACCTCCGAGATGGGCGTGGCCTGCTCCACCTGCACCTCTGTGGAGCTGGTGAGCTCAGGGTTGGAGGTGTCCAGGATCTCCACAGCCAGGCCCAGCAGGAGCCGGGCCCGGAAGGACACACCCTCCCCCAGGCCCTCGTTCAGGTCCTGGTGCTCGTCCAGCAGCGTGTAGTTACGTGTGGAGCCGTACATGTTCACCCAGGCTGGACCCAGTGTGGGCAGGAAGCCTGTGGTAATGGGGAGAAAAACGAGGGAGCCGTATCACATCCAGGGTTCCCTGGGGAAGAGGGGCCTCTTTTGGGGGTCCCTGGCCTCCAGCTCCTGCGTGCTGAGCTGAGAACTTCATGTGTGTTATTCAGATGTGGGGCAGCCTTCTTATACTGTGCTGGGGTGGAGTACTCTCTTGGGTCTATTTCTTCCCTGCGGGGGCCTGAGCTGGAAGTGGTGGGGAAGCAGAGTCTAGCTTTCTGCTTCCTGCAACTTGGAGTAGGATTTGCCAACAGTCTATTTGTAGGACAGAGCTAGTCCTTCCAAGTCCCCAGCATGACCTTCGGTTCTGTGCCATTTTTGCAGCTCTGTCCCACCATGGTCACCCTGCTGGTGCAGACCCCTCCCTTCCTGTCCATCTGTGCCTGTGAAATGCTGCTTCCTCACGAAGCCTTCACAATTCCTAGGCACAAGTCCCTTCTCTTATGGCTAAGATCTGTCAGGACTCTGACAGGGGTCGCAAGATCCGGCTTTTTTGGTTCATTTGCTTTTTATTCTGCCTTTTTTAAAAAACACACTTATAGTATTTTAAAAATTTAGATATACTTCATATGATATAAAATTCGCCATTTTAAAGTGTACATTTCAGTGGTTTTTAGTATATTCACTATGTTAAAAAGCATCATCTAATTCCAGAACAGTTCCACCCCCTCAAAAGAAACTCTGCACCTATTTAGCAGTTGGTCCCAATCCCCTCCCATTAGCACCTGGAAACCGGCAATCTACTTTCTGTCTCTGGATTTGCCGGATGTTTCACATACATGGATCAGACAACATGTGGCCTTTTGTGTCTTCTGCCTTATGTTTTGACCATCTGGTAGCACATCTATCTCCTTAATACACAGTGAGCACTTTGATCCAGGAATAGATTCTTATCTCACTCTATGTCCTTGGAACCCACCACAGGGCAGGGATCCTAGGAGGTGGTCAGTCCCTGCGAGTCTGCAGATAGGCACTACTATTAAGTATTACATATATACACACTGTAATTATATACAAATGCAGTATATACACTGCAATGATATGACTATTCATACTATAATTATTATATCATATAATCATTACTATTTTCACTTTAAAAATGGGAAAACAGGTCACACAACTACTAACTGTCAAATCCAATCAGCTGGGCTCAGGCCAGCTCTGAGCCGACCTGAGCCACAAATCCACACCCTCCCCTTGAGGCAGGGGCTGCTGGCAAGGCCCTGGAAACACATGTGAGGCTGAGGTCCGGAGTTGATGGTGGTGGTGTGAAGAGAGGGGGTCTCACTTACTCCTTCCCTTCAGGCCACTCCCTGCCCCCCAGCACACCCAGTCTCCTGCTGCTGACCTTTGTCTCCATCATTAGAAATCTTGCGCAGGTCAATGAAGTGGGTGCCGATGGCCACATCGTTGACCTTGTCCGAGTCTCGGATCTGCACCTTCATGCGTTTGCAGAGTGGGGGAAAGAGGTCTGTAAAGACCACCTGCTCATTCCACAGGGGCTCATAGCTGCTCTTCTGCACGGAAGTCTTGCCCTGGTGGAAGGGGGAGCGTGGGTGAGGGCGTGGCATGTGTGTGTGAGTGGATGCATGTGTGCGTGTGTGAGTGGGTGTGTGTCTGAGTGGGTGCATGTGTGCGTGCGTGAGTGGGTGCATGTGTGCGTGCGTGTGTGAGTGGCTGTGTGAGTCTGTGTGAGTGGGTGCATGTGTGCGTGTGAGTGGGTGTGCGTGCGTGTGTGAGTGGGTGCATGTGTGCGTGCATGCCTGTGTGTGGACTTGTCTTCACTCTTCCCACACCCCCAACCTCTCCTCCCTCTCATGCCCCCTGCGTAGCTCTCAGTCTAAGGACTCCAGGAGGCAGGGAGGATCCTCTAAGCCCACCCCTGGCCGACATGATTTCCAGCCTTTTCTTACCTGCCCAGCTGCCCCATGCCCCATGCCCATCAGCCTGCACTTGTGATGCCTGTCACCCAGCCCCCGCCTCCTGTACCTCATACCCCAGTACCTTCTGGCCAGCAAAGAAGACTTGCACATAGGGGTCCACGAGGTCCTTGTTTTCACCGATGAAAGCCTTCTTTACATTGGCCATGAGGCTTGTGTTCATACGGGGCAGCCCCTCTGCTCGGTAAATTTTCACATAGAACCGGGCCCACTGGCGTTCGGGGGGCACCCCCTCGGGGAGCAGCAAGTTCCTGCCAGCACATACAGCCAGGGCCATTGTGGTCGGGCCCAGGTCCCCAGTCCCCGTCCTGGCATCTACACACCCCTGGGTCCTGGCAGTCTCTAAGGGATGGGTGGGGGAGCTAGGCTGGGATGAGACATTTGCATTCATGGAACTTGCCCCTTGTGGAATTCTGGGCAAATCTCCCGTCTCACTGAGCTGCCATTTCATCACTGTTGAGGTGGCTGTAGTAATACCCACCTCCCAAGTATATGGTCGGCTCAAGCACGCTAACACATGAGTGCTTTGTAGATTGTGCATTGGGATATGGTCTTAGTATTATCATCAGTGTTTTATAGTACTGTGTCGTATCTTTTGTTTCGTAAACAAAAACTTCATAGTAGCCACTCTCTCTCCTCCAGCTCACAAAAACAGGATTCATTGATCCCAGCACTTTCATCCACTGACTCCAGACAAGGTCACAGAATATTTCTCAACAGCTGCTATCAGCTGCCTGGAATTGGCACACCAGAAGAAACCGTGGCTCTCCCAGCGCTATCCTGCTGCTGTACTCAGGACCCAGCAGCTGCTGGCTCTGGTCTGCCAGCATTGACTCTTCCCACCCCATTTCTCACTGGCAGAAAGGATGTCAAAGGACTGTTATTCTCAGTCATCCTCCATCACCCGCTGCCCCTGCCCTGCCTCAGAAGAGTGGGGCTGTTTGGGAGAGTGGGCGAGAGTAGGGTGAGGGAGATGGGTGGCAGGTACTCTGAGCAAACCCTCATCGGGAACTCCCTGGGGGAAGGAAGGGCTGGCTCAGACTCCAGGGGCTGGGGTAGCTGGGCCTCACCCCTCAATGTCATCTTCGTCGGTCTCATTGGCCTTGTGGGGCGTCTTGATGTTGTCCCCTTTGCCCACCACGGCGACGTCACACTTCACGTAGCCCTTCAGCCCCGAGGAGATGTCGTCGGGGTCCGACAGGATGGCCCACTTGTGATGGAACTGGTGCTCTGCAGTGGTGAGGGGAGGAGCACTGCACCAGACCCCCCAACCCAGGGCGTCTCCCAGTGCTCAGGGGAGGCCAAGGTGTGGCAGAGCCAAATGTTCTCTTGGCCCCTAGAGTCCCGAGACCTGGGACCACGGCTCTGCCTGTCCCTAGTCCAGGGGGTGATAGAGTCTGAGGTCCTCTGGAGCTGGGGCAGTGGGTGGATGGCCCAGCCATGGACATACGTCCCATGAGTGGTGTGACTTGGAAGTGTGACAGCCTCCTCCTAATTGGGTTCTTTCTGCCTATGGCCTCTTCTATGGCCCCACCCCAGTCAGCTAGCCTTCACATAGCTGTGAAGGACACAGCTGCCCACAGGGCCTTCCCAGGTGGAGAGGCTCACGCTCCTGCTCCCCATCTTCAGCTCCTTCTGGGGTTTCCCAGTGCGTTGGGGTAAAGACAAAAGGCACGGCCTGTGGGCTCCTGATTTAGTGCCCCCTGACTCACTCTGCTGAGCCCACCCAGCCTTGTGTTCCTCCTTGCTGAACATGTATTGCGGATTTGCCCTTTTATACCTCCATGCCTTTACATCTGCTGCTCTTTGAGCTTGGAACGCCCTCATTCCTGCTCTCTCCACCGCCATCTCTCTCTCTCCCTGTTCAATTTGTAAACTTCTACTCATGTTGCTCAAGTTTCGTCTCCGTGCAGCCCTCCCTGACTTCCTCAGAAGAGTTGATCCTGGGCTCTTTGGTGTTTGTTCTCTGTGCTCTCTGTGCACATTTCCCATCTCACTGTGCACTGTGCTCATCTGGGCATTGTTTGTCTCTGATTTTAGACTGAGAGTCTCCTAAAGACAGGGACTGGCAGTCTCATCCCAGTGTCCTATGGCCTACGACTGTGTGGAGGGAAGGACAGATGTCAGGGAAGGAGGCACTTTAGGAAGGATTTGCTCCTTCAGGTTTACTTTAAGCCCAGGGGGCAAGCACAGGGAAGCGCATCACTGTGCCTTAGGAATCTGCTTCCCAGGATGTTCTGTGGGCACCAAACTCTCTGGGACTCAGCACCTCCCTCCTTCACTCCCTCCTTCACTCCCTCCTCTTCCACCTTCTACTGTAGCCCAGGCCTGCGTCCTGCAAGCCTGTGGCCCTGGTGGGCTCCCGGAGATGTTAGGGGCTGTGTGCAGAGGTTGGCCTTTCTGAGAATAGCCAGGCCACCAGTGTCTCAGAAAAGATAATGCCACAGTAGAGTCTGAAGAGAGGGACAAGCAAGGCAAGAAGGCAGGAAGGCACATGGATGAGGAGTCACTGGAGAGCCTCAGCCAGGCTGGCAGGCCTCCGGGAGGGGCCATGTCCCAGGTATCCCAGGAACTTCAGGTCTTGCCAGAGCAGATGTGTGTCGGATGAGGAGATAGACAGATAGCTCAATAAATGGGTGCAGAAATGGGCAGAGGGATGGGTGGTGAGCTGCCTGGCTGGCTGACAGATAGATGGACAGATGGTGGATGGATTATTGGATAGAAGGAGCCATTAATATCTGGACAGGTGGGTGGGTAGATATATGGATGGGTGTGTAGATGGATGGATATATGGGTGGGTGCATCTGTGGATGGGTGAGTAGGTGGATGGATCTGTGGATGGCTGGGTGGGTAGATATATGAATGGGTAGGTGGGTGGATGGATGGATATATGGGTGAGTGGGTGGATCTGTGGATGGGTGGTTGGGTGGATGGATTCGTGGATGGGTGGGTGGGTAGACCAATGGATATATGAGTGGGTGGGTGGATGGATGGATACATGGATGGGTGGGTGGATCTGTGGACAGGTGGGTGGATGGATTTGTAGATGGGTGGGTGAGTGGATGGATGGATACGGGGTAGATGTATAGAGGTGTGCATGGTTAGATGAATTGGGGACATTTAGAAAGGAAAGAGAATAAGATTCAGGAGGAATGTAAAATTTGCCTTCAAATTTAAAGGCTATTTTTCTTTTTGTCCTGAAAGAGAGACCTGTGAAAGTGGGTGAAGGTTACAGGGCAACAGATTTTGAGATGACCCAAAGAAAGTGAAGATATCTAAAATAAGAGGTAGTGAGTGCCCCATTTCTGGGAGGACTAAGTAAGGTTAGATGACCAATCAGAGATGGTGCTGTGGGGGTCCCTACATCAGGTTAACACTTGACTGATGACTTCTGAGGCCCTTCTAGTCTTAATACTGTGTGATCTCAGGCTAGAGATACAAGGACCACATGAGACCCTGAGCTATATGCTTACCAGCCTGAAACATCATTTCACCTCCCTTCAGCCTGGGGCTGACACCTGCCAGTCAAGGCTAGCCCAGTTGGGGAGTTGCTGCATCCCAGACCTCCTCTTTGATCTATGAGGATGAGTGTATAGCCCCGACTTCCTCTATGATCTATGAGGATGAGTGTATGGCCCCAACTTCCTCTATGATCTATGAGGATAAGTGTACGGCTATGGCCCCAACTTCCTCTTTGATCTATGAGGATGAGTGTATGGCCCAGACTTCCTCTGTGATCTATAAGGATGAGTGTATGGCCCATCCTCACTCCCAACAGAGAGTAGCAAAGAGTAAACAGTTTCCTGCTGTTGCATCTGGTGGTACAAATGACAAATGTGGTCCTGCCAGGGTGAGAAGAGTGTCTCTCGGGAAACCCCTTCCAGTTCCAAGAGATATTGACACCACCCAAAGCTTCCCAGCAGCACCCAGGAGTGTCTCTGGGAGCATGCTGTCCAACAGTGCCCTGGCTGGAACCAAGGACTCATCAAGAAGCCCCAGCCAAACTGGAGACATCAGAGTAAAGACACTGGGTCTCAACTCTAGGACCCGTGTGACTTCAGGCTCTTCTGTCCCTGAGAGGGCACCAGGCTTAGGGCTGGATTCAGCAGGAGCAGCGAATCTCAAGCTGGGTTACCTGAGTGGAGACCTGGGCTTTGGTCTCACCCAGACCTGGGCCCACATCCTGTTTCTGCTCCTTATTCACAGTGTGGCCCTGGACCAGCTCTTTAAGCCTGCTGAGCCTCAGTTTCCTTATGGTGAAATGGGAATGATGCCTACATGGGGTTGTGAGGGTGAGTCCTGCTGGGACAGTGAGCTTAGCCCAATGTCTGGTACTTACTGATGCCCTGGTGGTTTCCTCACCAGGACTTTACTACCCAGAAGCCCAGAGGTCCATATTAGATTAACCTCTGCCTTTTTCTCCACCCCCTGACTCTCTCTTGGCTCTTGGCCTCAGGCCCGCCAATGGTACCAGGACCACTGCTCAGCCCTGGGAGGAGCTCATCCTCAGGGATGCCAGTCATTCCACGCAAGTGGTCCACAGCTATGCATGCTTCCAGGGAAGCAACATGGCAGGAGGCCGACTCTTCCCTGCTCCCCACAGCACTGACGGTCAGCAGGGCTGCCCTCTGCTGAGGGCCATGGCATGTGTGGGGTGGTGGCAAAGGTACTGGTCTGGGAGCTGGAGACAGGGGTGCTACTCCTAGATGGTGGGCAAACCCCTTCAACACCCTGGGCTTCAGTTTATCCTCACAGAGAGGCTGGACTAGATGTTTTTCAGGTCTTGGGCAGCTTGAGTGTTCTATGATCTTGTGATTTTTATATGTATAATCTTGGTATTGGACTTAGATTCCCTGGTCTGAGTCACAGTTGTAATGTGTGCCAGCGGACATCTCTTAGGTTGACCACAAGTGATCACCAATTTGTTCAACTTACTAGTTTAGTGGTATCTCCAAGCCCCTTCATTTCTCTTAGCCTCATTTATCTCATTTACAAAATCGGAAGAAACGCTGCTGCCTACATTACTGTTTTGTGAGGGTCAAATGTGACAATTGGGTGAAATTATGTTGTCATTGTCAAAGGGACTAATGGGGTCATTACAGCACTCTGAGCAGTGCATTCACTTCAGGGACACGGGATGGCCCCTAACCTGCCCACGGGGTGAGCTGTCATCTGGCAGGCTGAGGCACTTCCTCTGCCTGGCCCACCTCACAAGCCCTCTGGGCCACCCATTGGGGTTCCCTTGCCAACCCCATTGGTGTTGGCCTACAGGACACCATGGAGCCCACATGGCTGCCCAAGAGCCTAGGGCTCTTGTAAGAAGTGTTTTCAGAGACCAGAGTCCCTCAGAGGCCACCACACTACATCTGGATTGAGAGCATCACCGCATTCAGATTGGATAGTGAGTTCAGCAAGGCTCTGGGAACACGCAGCCTGACTTCACCCCTGACCAGCTGTGCAGCTGGGGCAAGCCCTGGCTCTGAGCCTCAACTGTAATAGGGGATGGCAGGGCCCTGTGAGGGGTGGAAGGGAGTTCCTTTCTGCTCAGCGGGTGCCAGCCCAGGAGGCACAGCCCCTCGGCAGGCTGTGACAGGTTTCCCTCACTGCATTCTCTACCACTACCCGTCAGCCTGCCTATGGCCAGTGATGCGCCAGCCTGCCATGCGCTCCTGAGCGTGCGATGGAGCTCCTTCCAGGCTCTGGGCGGAGTTACCGACCTAATTATGAATGAGAACCCACCAGACTGGGTACGCAGTTGCTCACTGCATTTGTGTACAGACTGTGCGCGCCACTTCTCCGCAGGCCAGATGGCTGTGTGTACTAACAGTCGTCAGACTGTGGTCCTTGCCAGGCTTTTCCCAGGAACTGCCACAGAGGGAAGGGCCCTGTGCACTATGCTCCCTGAGCCGTGTACACCTCGACTGACTGGCCATGCGCAGGTACTCACCTGGCTGCGAGTACACGGTTCCCACGTCCATTTTGAAGGAGCCCACCAGGGTACCACTGCGTAGCAGGTTCTTGGAGTGAATCACCTTTCAGGCAGAACCACAGCCCACCCGTCAGGCCGGGCGAGGGTGAGGCCTTCCACGGGGCAGTGGTGGGACCTGAGCTTTATGATGAAGCGGGAGAGCATTTGGCAGAGTGGGGTGGCTTGCTGAGGCTCAGCATCAGCTCCTCCTGCCCACGCCAGTTTCTCACTGGCCACCGTGTACGGGCGAATACACTATTCAGAGGCACTGGATGAAAGGGGGTGGGTAGGGGCCAGAATCCAGCCTGTGCCCCACTTGCTCAGCCATGTGTCTAGGCATGGCACTGCCTCTTTATGACAGGTCTAGACAGAGGGAGCTCCTCTCAAGTGTGCACAAAGGTGCAATTTGAGGGAGTGGTCCTGCCTGCCAGAGGCTGCTCCCCACTCACCGAAATCTTGATGATCTTGTCGAACATGACATCAGGAGAGACATGGAAGTCGAAGACGAAGTACTGGAGAGGGGAAGGATCCGGGCCTGCTGTCACTGTGGGCAGCAGCAACAGCCTAGGCAGTGCTGGGCCCCTCCCTCCTCGCAGTGCCTGTCTGCACCCCAGCCATTTGCCCTGAGCCCCAAAGTTCAGAGGAGCAGCAGAGGCAACTCGTCTGATCCTGATTGACCCTGGTAGTGGGTGGTAGGAAGCAGAGCCCCATCCCCTAGGTGGAGCTGGTGCTGGCTAGTGTGGGGTGGGGAAGGAACTGGGAACAGTAGGTGGAAGAGCCTATGCCCTTGTACTGTGCTCAGAAGGGGCACAGGGCCAGGGAGCGAGGAGACCTGGGTTCTAGTCCCCGCTCTGCACCTTCCTAGCTGTGTGGCCTTGAGCAACACATTCTCTGAACCTCAGTTTCTTGCGCTGTGAAATGGGAATAATGACACCCACCTCAGAGTCTTGTTATGAGGCTCTGATGAGACAATGTAACATAATTTACCAAATCTAAAGTGGCTACTGGCTGTAAGATATACTACGGTTTAACAGGCCACATGGACATTGCCATGAAGCCACAAGGCTGCCTAGGAGACACATCCCAAATTCAGAGAGGTGAAGCTGTAAAATAACGCAAGCCTCAGAGCAGATGAACCATGGTGTGCCAAAGCACTTAGTTGGCAGTCCCTGTGAAATGCCATGGGCGTGCACTGTCCTTTGGTGTTGTGGGCTGCCATGCGCATTTGCAGTCCCCATCTCTTCCCCTGGCCTGGGTGTGCAGGCGCTGAGGATGAGGGTGTGGGGCAGTAAGTAGAGGGGCTGCTGCTTTGGTGAACTGTGGTGGGGGAGAAAGGAGAAGAAAGGAGAAATGTTTCCAACGTGCTTAGGGTAAATGTTCGAAGAGAACGTGCTCCTGGCTGCGGGGGGCTGGCCCTTGAGCACTGAGGGTAAAGCTTCAGAGCCAGCCCCACCTGGCTGTTACTGCTGGGCCAATCACTTTCTTGCCTGAGCCTCAGTTTACCTATTATACTATGAATGTGGAGATATGATCCAGGGCTGTCGTGCTGAACTGCTCCAGGGGTGCCATTCACATGCGGTCTTCAAGGTGTGGTTGTGAAGTTGCAATGAGACAACCTGGTGAAATCTTTAACCCAGGTGTGCACCCACGGTAAGCACACGGTAAACAGGCTGTGCGCGACACTAACAGGCCCGGGGTGTGCTGGCCAAGGTTCTGAAGCTCTGGGGAGGCGGGTGGGGATATGGATTTGGAAATCAGCACAAGATGGTAACTGACACCTTAGGGATGGAGGAGGTACCTGGGGAGAGCATGGGAGGGGAAGTAGGCCCAGGTCAGGGCTCCAAGAGGCCATGGCCTTTCAGCCAAGAAGTCAGGCCAGGGAGATGGAACTGGAGAGACAGGGGAAGCAGGAGAGTGGGGTGAGGGGCCCCCAAGAGGAGCAGCAGGCAGTGGGATGAAAGAAACTGGGTGATCAAGGGAGAGGAGGAAGACATGGACATTATACTCAGAAACAGCAAGGTCCTTGGTGACCTTGAGGAGAGCAGTGTCAATGACATCTAGAGGCAGAAACCCTGCAGAGACTGAGGAGTGACTGCGGGGAGGAAGTGAGAACAAGCCAAGTGGTCTGACTGTGGAGGGGAGGAGGGAAAAAGGAGGTCACTGGAGAGGTGTGTGGGAATGAGGAAAGGCCCAGAGAGAGGTGACAGACTCCTAGTTCTTGCCCTTGAGCACACATGGGTCTTCATGGTTGTACTTAGCATATGCTGGAGTAGAACACCTTACAGGCAAAGGAGAAGGGGCTGGAATAAAAACAAAGACAGAGTTGGGCTGTGCAATGCCAGGTTCTTTGAGCTGTAGAAAGAGAAGGATCCAAGGCAAAGGGGAGAGGTGGATTTTTGGCAGGAGGGAAGATGGCGGCACTCCCAAGATGCCCAGGGCGGGGCCTGATGCACACACAGGACACACAGAAAAGGAGCCTTAGTCTGGTTTGTGAATGGCCAGCTTGTTCTGGAAGGGCAAAGGTTGTGAGCTTCCCTGCACACAGGTAGGCTCAGGGCCAGGCAGGGTGATCAGGCCAGGTGCCCACAGCTGTGCCAGCCCCAGGGGAGCGAGCTAGCTGAGCTAGGGCCAGAATCCCGAACTCTCTGAGCTGTCTGCAATCAAATTCCTGGTAATTCCTGAGCATATTTTCCTTTGGTAATAGCTTAGATACCTGCTAAGTCATGTTGATTGCTCCCACCTCCCTCTGTTGTTTTAATGGAGCCAAAGGAAGGTTCCTGCCAGCTCAGATAATTAGTCAGAAATAATACATTCCCACGACGAGGAGGATGCCCTTCATTGAAAAGGAATGTGGCATAGAAAGATAAGAAAAGGGAAAGAAAGCTTTGGGGCTGGAAAGGCTGATTTGGGGCTGGAAGGAATCATAGCAAGATAGTTTAGAATGGTGGTCTCAACTGGGGGCGATTTCGGGGGACATTTGGCATGTCTGGAAACAGTCTTGGTTGCTGTAACTAAGGGGAGTTGTTATTGGCATCTACTGGGTAGAGGCCAGGGATGCTGCTCGCATCCTACACAGCACAGGACAATCCCACCACAATTATCCAGTCCAAGATATCCACAGTGCTGAGTTTGAGAAACCCTGGTTTAGAGGAAACAGAAACAAAATCAGAGCTATTTAGGTTTGTGAAAAAGAACAAAAATGTGATCAGAGACACATTTAAAATCGTCTGAAGATGAGCAGAATGAATAGTCTTAGAGGATATAAATAGGGAATTTAGAAAGATTCTAGGCTGAAACGAGGAAGGGACCTGTGCAGGGTAGAAACTGTGCCTCCTTCATCTCAGCAGCCTCCATCTTGCCCCACGTGCCACCGTCTGGCGTGCGGCAGATGCTCCGTGGATGTTTGTGCCTTCCTTTGGGTGAGTGTTACTGAACCCCTCCGAGTACATGCCTGGCTCTGAACAAATACAGCGAGGCAGGAGATGGGGAGCCTCCAGTCCACCAGGAGGACAGAGACACAGAGGACCAGCCTCAATTCTGGGACATTAACACTGCAGAGAAAGGGGAGTGCTGACCTCTGACCCAGACACAGGAGGCAAGGCTGCTCAGTAGTAAGAACATTTGAGCTGGGCTCTGCCAGGTGAGTGGGAATTTTCTGGAGGAGCCACAGAGTGGGGAGAGCAGCTCTGTGCCCTTGGGAAAGAGGAAGTAATTTGAATGAAACCCAAGGTGCGTGGGCCTGGTGGAGGGAGATCCCTTAAGTCAACAAAAGTGGCTTCACTGCTATCGAATAACCACAGGGGCCACGGGGACCTGTCTCCATGCCTGTCATGGGGACACAGATGCTTTTCTAGGCAGAGGCTTGTCCAGTCAGGATGTGTCCTAACGTAAGGCCAGAGATGTCAATCCTGAATGTCCTTGGGGCCGGAGGGGTCCTGAGCAGGTTGTCCAGCTCTGGGGGCCTGTGGGAAAGCAGCTGGGAGAGCAGAGTTGATTTGTGGTCACAAAGGAGGGTTCGGCCAGGCCTGGGCTGAAGGGCAGAGGTGGGCCTGGGTTTTCTTCCTGCAGGTGCACAGTCCAAGGACTCTCACAGCGGCCTGAGAAATGCCCTCCCCCAAGCTACAGGGGACACCTCAGTCCTCACCCACCTCAGGGTATGGGACTCAGCTGCCTTACTTGGGCCAGCCTGGCACCCCTCACTGCCTAGAGCCACCAGGAGAAACAGACTGGGGAACCCTCCAGGAAAGGGATGGCAGAGCCCAGGCTAGTGGCTTCTGGGTTAGTCTGATGTGTGCTCAGGCATCTGGGAAAGGCCTGGGCATCCTGGTGAGAAAACATTTTAAATGGCCCATTTTCAAGACATGATAAGTCTAAGTACTGGCATCCAACCTGCGAATGTAACAAACCACATGGCTTATGCACCTAGGCCACAATAAGCGAACAGAATGTAGAGGAGAGGTCAGCCCATGAAAGGGAAAAAGGTTTTGTTATTGGGAAATTGAAACTTAAATGGGGAAGGGGAGTCGGGTATAACCTTATAAGGGGGAAAATGAAGCTTAGGCGATGTCAGGGAAGATTGTAACCCCATAGTACTCGACCAATGGGGAACTGGGGGAGGGACATGCATGCTAGGAGATAAATTACATGTTGTGACTGCCCCGGGTGTGCCTGCCTACCAGACACTCCGTCTTTCAAGACCGTTATTAGAAGTCTCACTTTCGCTGTTCTTCATGCCTCTAAGTCCATTCTTTGGGTTTGGATGAGTGAGTGTATTTCTCATATCCCTCCCCAGAGCTGATTATGATGGGGTCCTGTTTGGAGCCTGGGAACCAAGGTGCCACATTTGTGATGGTGGCCAAAGTCCTGGGCTGGAAGCTGGGTGGGCAGCCTGGCCCCTGCTCCATCAGCAACACTCTCTGAGATTGTGGGCAAGGCCCTTCCACATGGATCCTCAGTATCCTCCTCTGTAAGATGGGGAGATTGGAGTAGAGGGTCTCTGACCTCCCTCACCCTTGATGTGGCCTCAAATGGCTGGAAAGAATAGGAGTGGGTACCAAATGTTTTCTCTCTGACACCCCAAAGTCAAGGCCAGTGCTCTGGAGGGAAACCCACAGAAGTTCAGGCAACCATGAAGGAACCGAGCCAAGAGGGCAGAACCCCACCAGCATGCCAACGGCAATGCTGGCACTGTGAGATTGGACAAGGTCTGCCTTCAGAAGTCTCACTGTCCCCTTGTGTAAAAGGAAATTGATAGTGACAACTTCGGATGGTCCAGTTCAGAAGCAATTAGGAGCATGCCTGGCTGGTAGAAAGTGCTTACTAATGGTGCCAATGTCGCCATGGGTTGAAAGGAGGCAGCCCTGTCCTTGGGCTCTGGCCTGGAAAACAGTGGGGACCAGGCCTCCTGGGGAGTGGGGTGGGGGCAGTTCTTTCACAGGCACTGCTGGGGTCTGCACAGGGGCACCCAGGTGGTGCACACTTCAAAGACCAGTGTCAGTCTGCGCTCTAGACTGGGGGGTTCAGAGGATTCAGAGGATGTGGCTCTGTTTGTCAGTGTCCTGGGGGTTGTAACAGGGTGGGTCACCCCTGCTGGTAGCTGTGTGTGCTCCTTGACTCCCAGCCACTCCTGTTTCTCCTGGGGAGGACTGGGACCCACCCTCCTGCCACATTTACAGAGGCTCCTTTCCCCACAAGGCCACTGACCTCGTTGTAATAGGGGCAGTTAGTGGACTCCTTCATGGACGTGTACTTCTTGTCGTCGCCCACCTCCACGCACACCACGGGGTCCATGTTCAAGCCCACCAGCTGACGGGCCTCGATCACCGTGATGCTGACCTATAGGCAGGAGAAGGGGAAGCCAGAAGGAAAGCTGCCTGAGCCTAGGAGCCCAGTTCCGCAAAGGTCCAGGGGCTGGGGCAGCAGAGTCAGAGTGAGGGCCCGGGAGCCAGCGCTGGCCTCCAGACTCCACTCTGACCACGCCTCTCATCTGCTGGGTGATCCTGGGCTCCTTCTCCTTCCAAGCCTCAGTGTCTTCATTTGTAGAGGAGTATGAGTTGGCTAACCTCTAAGTCAGTGTTCACTAGACTTAACTTGCTGGGCCGGAGGGAGGAAGAGGCATTAAAAACCCTGATGCTCAGGCCACCTCAAGACCAATCCAATCCAATCCTGGGGCATGCAGCTCAGGCATCTGTATTTTTATTTATTTTTAGTTTTAGTTTTTTGACAGAGTCTCACTCCGTTGCCCAGGCTGGAGTGGAGTGGCATGATCTTGGCTCACCACAACCTCTGCCTCCTGGGTTCAAGTGATTCTTCTGCCTCAGCCTCCTGAGTAGCTGGGATTACAGGCGTGCACCACCACACTGGGCTAATTTTTGTATTTTTTATACAGATGGGGTTTTGCCATGTTGGCCAGGCTGTTCTCAAACTCCTGGCCTCAAGTGATCTGTCTGCCTCGGCCTCCCAAAGTGCTGGATTATAGGCATGAGCCATCGTGCCCGGCCTGGCATCTGTATTTTTAAAGCTCCTAGGTGATACCAAGTACCCTGCATTCTTCCCTAGCGTTGATGTCTCTGCTTCAGAAAGAGCTGCCAAACCCGTGTCATAGGTTTCATGCACTCAGGAATAAAGCTTTTAAAGTGTTCATTAACTTGCATTTAATTTCCTGCTCCAGGAATTCTCATGTAAGCCTGCAAGCCTCTGATATGTCTTTGTGTTTCTGGAATTTGGCCCGCCCTTTCCACATTCCTGCCCCTTCTCCTTTTGCTGAATTTCTTTGTTTGAATGGCCAGTGTGGCTTTGGTGCCTGCCTGAGCCGCCTTTTTCAGCCTACTGATTATATGTTGTATATGCACTCTGCTGTGTCCTTTACATGGCATCCAGCTCTCTGCAATCTTACTTATATCCTGGGAAGCCCTTTTTCAGTTGTTCATTCCTGCAACAAATGTTTCCTGGAAACCTGCTGGAGCCAGGCACAGGTGGGATTGCAACAAATTCTTCCTTGTGGAGCTTACCACAATGATTAATGGCGTTTTTTTTTTTTTTTTTTTTTTTTTCACAGTGAGTCTCTCTCTGTCACTCAGGCTGGAGTGTAGTGGCGTGATCTTGGCTCACTGCAGTTTCCACCTCCCTGGTTCAAGCGATTCTTTTGGCCCAGCCTCCCGAGCAGCTGGGATTACAAGCACGTGCCACCCTGCCTGGCTAATTTTTGTATTTTTTTTAAGTAGAGATGGGTTTTACCATGTTGGCCAGGCTGGTCTTGAACTCCTGACCTCAGGTGATCTGCCTGCCTTGGCCTCACAAAGTGCTGGGATTACAGGCATGAGCCACTGCACCCAGTCGATTATTGGCTTTTTAAGATAAAAAGATATAAGGAGAGAGAGAGACAGAGAGAGAGCCAGAGTACTGGTAATTTTTGACTTCACTACTACTTTTCCCGAACGCTCATTTTAAGCCACCAGGTCTCATTTGGATTTGGAGGTGTCAGTTCCTGTCAGGGTGGCCATGGTAGGATAGATAGAGGCATGTACTGGGGGTTGCTGAACTTGGCATTGAACCCTAGACCTGAGATGTTGCCAGGTGTGAGAGCAAATGACCACATAGCCTTGTGTTATTCAGCTACTAGCAGAGATACCAACTACCCGTAAGGTTGTGTGCAGGTTAAATGAGATCATGTGTGTCAAAATGCATCCTCAATGGCAGAAGGCTCTATAAAATGTGAGTGACTCCAGTAGAATCTCCCTTCAGCTAAGCGGGTGATCTCTCAAGTAGGTGAGGCTGTGCATGATACTTAGAATGGTTGATTCACTTGCCTCTCTCAAACGTGTGTTTTAACAGAAAAGTCTTTCCCCAGCTAGAATAAGTGTGGACCTCAGTACATTCTTCTTCTTTTTATTTTTTTGGAGACAGTCTCACTCTGTTGCCCAGGCTGGAGTGCAGTGGCACGATCTAGGCTCACTGAACCTCCACCTCCCGGGTTCAAGCTATTCTCCAGGCTCAGCCTCCCACGTAACTGGGATTATAGGTGCCTGCCATTGCATGGCGTATTTTTGTAGTTTTAGTAGAGATGGGGTTTCACCGTGTTGGCCAGGATGGTCTCAATCTATCCTCGTGATCCACCTGCCTCGGCCTCCCAAAGTGCTGGGATTACAGGCGTGAGCCACCGCGCCCAGCACATTTTTCTAATGAGACTCTGAAGGCTGCTCTTCATGCCTGTCTTCTTGGAGATTTCATGTTTTAGTTGTGCTTTGATGCAACTTCTAAACACAACTTTACTCGAGAGAATTATCTTCCCTTTTCATGAAAAAGAATAACCACTAAAATGATCATCCAGTATCCATCAAAGTCTGAAACATATCCTGAGGGCAACGAAAAATCTACACATCGGAAGTAATCAGGTTAAGGAAATAGAAATTCCGATATTAATGAGAACATTGCCAGGAAATGGGATATTTACAAATGAAGTGACACTTGAACTAGGAAGCAAACATTTCTGTTTTGAACGTGAAGTGCCAAAGGGACAGAAGTAAAAGCTTAGAATCTGGAGCTTCACAGAAGTTCAATATTCACCACTCCTTCAGGGAGATAAAAAGGAAATAGGACTAGTTAACTTAGCTCTGAGAAGTTTACTGTGAAGAGAGCAAACAGACACTAGAAGTCCTCCTTTGCACACTAGTTTATAGAGTTTTAACTTCCACGATCACTTTTTTTGCCAAAGATTTTTAAAAACCCTATGAATTTTTCCGCAACTCATACCCCCACCAACAATAAAAAAGGCTTTCTATAACTCAAGACTGGGAAGCGGACAGACGCAGTTTTGGCATCTGCCGAAGATAAGCCAGTGGCAAGCCTCCTTCCCACTGCCAAGAGAATGGTTAAGTTTTATGTTTTCCATCTCGAGGCATGGCCATAGGATAGGCTACTTGTCCCTGTCCCCCATTTCAGGACTCATACATATCTCCCTTCCTCCATGGAGCAGAATCAGTGAAGGTGACAACCTGGACAGAAGCTCCGGCAGTAGAGGCGGAGGGTGGAGGGGGAGGTGGGCAGAAACTTGAAGGAGCAATGGAGGGAAGAGAAGCTCCAGAGGGTGCTCATTGCTGGTTGAGGGGCAGCCCCGAGAGGAAGCTGAGGGCGCTGAGAAAGACCACCACGTGCATGGTGTTGGGGGAAGGGGAATGCCATTCCTGCTGCCTCCCACCCCGCCTGGGGCCCTAGGAAGGGGAAATGATGCTTTTGAAATAAAAAATAAAAAACAGCTGGTCATTCTCCAGGGTTCTGGGGGAGGGGCTTGGCCATCCTTCTCTCCAGTCATCAGCAGAGGACTCTATTTTCCCAGGGTGGAAGATGAAGAGGCAAATGGAGCCACAGCTGGGACCAACTGACCAGCTGACTATTCCACCATCTCCTTTCAAGATAAGGGACATACTCCCCAGTGGCTTGATGAAAGCGATCACAAGGAATAATGCTGAGTGGTAAATCTATACCCCTGTCCTGGGGAAACCCAAGAGTAATGATGCTTTGCGGCCTGCTTCCTAGGGACCTGATCCAGCTTCAAGAACATCCGCCAGGAGCTAGAGATGAGAGTTGGTGTGCCCTTTAGTACTGCCCTTCTGCAACATCCGTTACCCACTCCCCACTTTTCCAGGTGGCAGAGATGTGACATGATCAGATTTGCATTTTCAGAAGATTGCTCCAGTGCTGGCATACAGGTTGGAGGGGAGGAGGCAATATGGGGGCAGAGAGACCAGGTAGAAAGTGGGTATAAGCATGCAATTGAGGCTGGGGACCTCAGGTCAGTGGCAGGGGCATGAAATGGAGGTGAAAACTGGAGAGATGTTGGGTGACAATGTATTAAGTCTTGGTGCCAGGAAGAGAGGATAATGAAGAGACTCAAGACCCCTTGACCCACCAAGAACATGTCTGTCAAGTGCCAAGCATTGCTCACTCTGGTGGGGAAACTGCACATTCACAGGGGATGACTGTGGTTTCTTGCCTTGGAGATGGCAATAATCAGGAAAGAGTTTACATGTGACATGCATTCTAAATGGAAGAAACAAGGAGCATGGGAATGCCATAGTCCTTTTATCTCCAGGCTTCTTTCAGTGCCATAACCTTTAGAATGGTCCTGAACCCTCACAACCCTTCCTGGAGCTGAGTTCAGCTAAGTCTCCCCTCCTCTCACCAATGAGATGTCCTTCCTGAGGTCTTTATAACTCATCAAACCCAAAGTCTCCAAGAGACTGAAGTTGCATCTGGTTTTATTGCTTTTTATTATTTATTTATAATTTTCTTTTGAGACAGGCAGGGTCTCCCTCTGTCACCTAGGCTGGAGTACAGTAGTGCAGTCTTGACTCACTGCAACCTCCACCTCCCGGGTTCAAGCGATTCTCCTGCCTCAGCCTCCCAAGTAGCTGAGATTACAGGTATGCGCCATCATGACTGGCTAATTTTTGTATTTTTAGTAGAGACGGGGTTTCACCGTGTTGGCCAGGCTGGTCTTGAACTCCTGGCCTCATGCAATCCACCCGTCTCGGCCTCTAAAAGTGCTGGGATTACAGGCATGAACCACCGTGCCCGGCCTGGTTTTACTGCATTATACATTGTATGTATTGGAAGTGAAAATAATTTCACATTTGCATCCTCATAGCTCTCTCTCAAATGTTTGCAAGGGGAGCTGTGAATGAACTTGTCAGGAAACACTGTGCTACCAGGTTAAATACAACAACTGTTTTGTTCAGTTCGGTTTAAAAAGTCTTTGGAGGGGACAATGTTTGGTTCAGTTAATAAAAATCTCTGGTGGGAAGCAGTTTGAAAAGATTTGGAAAACAAGCACTAAGTAGCAAGATGAAGATGAACCAGGTACCCGAAGGGAGCAGCTGTCTAGAAGGCTTGATATAGAGAAGTCAATTGTTCTGATGGCTGTGGCCAGATACCCCTGGCCTTGAACCCTGGCTCTAGCCTTGGCTAAATGTGGCAAGGACCTGGGACAAGCTCCTGACCTTCCTGGGGCCTCACTTTCTTACCTATAAAATGCAGTAACACGTATATTTGGGTGGTTGAAGAATTACATTAACTTCAATGGAAACACATTTATGGCTCCTAGCACAGTGCCTGGCATAGCATAAACCTTCGAAAATAAGTTTCATGAACAATAATGACTGTATTTTTGATGTGCCCTTACCTCTCAGGCCAGTGACATCATCTCTGAGTTGGGGTCTTTGTTCTTGGGAAATTTCCTGTTCTCGGCACACAGAGAAACAAAACCCTGAACGTAATCCCTTGGAAAAGCCTTTGGAAGTCTCAGGACACTTTGTGTTTTGGGTTTTGGCAGAGGTGAGGGGGCCAGAATTCTCAAACCTCTAAGGAACCCAATGGCTTAAAGTTGTTTAAAACCATAGGGGCAGGTTCACTTGACATTGCCTGTGGCTGTTTTTCAGGCACCTGGGAAGACAGGTGCTGAGTAGGTGGAAACTAACTAAAACAAAGATGAAGGGAGATGAGGTATATTCTGGAGAAAACGGCCAGATGTATCTTTTACATAGAAAAGTGCCGTCTTATCCTTTCTTTCATCACCTGAGTGAGGGGAGGTGGGGTTCTCTGTAAAGAAGGGTTGGTGTGCATGGGGTCTGGGAACTAGGTATCAAAGATAAAACTCTGGTAGACGGGGCTCACTCAGATTCTGGGGCCTGGTGCTGATACCCAGACAGAGCATATCTAGGACAGAAGTGCAGTGGCAGCCAGGTGAGATCTCTTGCAAGCCCTGTCCCCTCTGAGCAGCCAGCATTCTCACTCAATGGTAGCAATACCCAGCAGTCTTCTGATTTACAGCTGAGTCTTGTTAGCCTCCAAGGGAGGGTCTGGAGCAATGGAGGGTCCCTGGGCCTTTCCTGAGAGATGGTGTCCCAGCAGCCACCAGATATGCTCATCACCTGTCCTGCCTGCACTGTTGGCCACATTCACATTCTCACAGCTAGCTGTCAACCTCTCTTTGTCTCTTTGTCTCAGTCTTTTGTCTCCAGTCTTAGAAGCACACAAATAAAAAAGTTGTGTTAATCTCATAAAATACAGAGAAGCAAAAAGAAGAACAAAAAATCACTCACATTCTCACCATCCAGAGATAACCAGAATCGACATTACTTCCAGCAATCAAATAATACAAAACAACAATTTAAAAATCATTCCAGGAAAACTTTCTTCCAAGGCCCTTATTTTAACACTTTGAATACTTTTTCTTTGTAATTCTCCTTGGTCTCTTTATGGTTTTTCTAGGTGCTTCTCACTTTATGAAGTCCAATGCTGAACATGAAATACTGGAAGGGCTTTGATTAGCATAGGCAGAGTTCTCAAGCTTTTCTTTGGGTTTGTATCTCTCTACTGATGGTATTTCTAGGAATGCCTCCCAGGAACAAGCTTACTTTGGAAACATATTCAGCTTGTGGTTCTCTATGACCCCTGGATCCATGCCTCAATATATTGGATAATGCACATCCAGCTAGAATCCCCCAGTAAAGCAGAGTCTGAAAGACATGAGGCCTCCAGGTGCCCACCTACCTGGTAATCCATGGGCCGCCCAGCACTTGGCTCCATCTTAATGTCTGGCTTAGATCTGAGGAACAGAATGTATCATCAGGCCTGGTGTATGGGGACTGCTTGTGGGGGAGGAGGGCATGGGCAGTGGTTAGACCTGGGAGTGGGCAGAGGGACAGAATCGTGGTCTTTAAACACTCAAGCACTGCCAAGAATAGTGGGGATTAGTTGCCTTCAGAGGACTCGACACAGAGAACTAATCAAAGGCAGAAGTAACAGGGAGACAGACGTGGGGTCAATAGCTTCAAATATGGGGTGGGCAGGTCTGTGGCTTCCTTGGGCTGGGAGGTATTCAAAGACCTGAGAAAAGGCCTGCTTTGCTCTGCTTTTGCAGGGAGAGAGGTGAGAGAAACACCCAAGAAAAAGCAGAAAAGGGTAAGATTAGGTTAGGAAGAAGCTGTCCATGGGCCCTGATTCTTCCCTACCCAAATTTCAATCATAGCAAGGTCCTGCCTGACAGGGTGGGGGCAGTTGGGGTTGTGGGGCTCCCATCCACTCACCGCTTGTTGGAGACATTAGTGGTGAGAGCTGTGACTGAGGCTAGAGACACCGAGTCGGGATCCAGTCCATCCCCTAGCCGAATGGCCAGATGGTCAAGGTCTTCCATCTCCAGCACTGCTGGTTCATCTGGGGAAGATGAAAGACTGGTTAGGTGGGCTGACTGATGGTGAGATAGTGACTGTTTCTCCTTTTACTCTGGCATCCAGAAAGCTGAGAGTTAAATTCGAGGTTTACTTAGTTGCTACTGCTTAGAATGTTATGGCCTGAATAACTGCAATGTTTTTCTACCTAATCCCGATCTTGGATTTGAACGGATATTATGTCTGGTCTTGCCTTTTTATTTTAATTGAATGCTCTTTTATTGCATTGTACTTACTTAGGCACTGAATATCCCTTGTGGATGAAGGTAGGGAATAAAGAATCCATACTTTTGCACCTCTCAATAAATAGCTACCATTTACTGGGTGGATACTCTGTTCCAGGCACAACACCAGGACTTTACATGAGTATCTCTAGTCCTTAGAGCTGTGCCCTGCCAAGATGGGCATTATTCTCATGTCACAGGTACGGAAACGAAGGCTTAGGAAGTAACTTAATCCATATCAAATAGCTGATGGCATTCAGAACCGAATGCACTGGTATTCATCTAATGAGATGCAGACATGTAGATTCCGAAAAGCCACCCGAGGATACTGGGTTTGGTCCTCAGCCAGCAGCTGTACTCTCTCCATTTAAGAAGGTGAAGGGCACAGCTGGTATTGGCATGGGGGCAACAGGGTGGGGGAGAGAGCCTGAGGGCCATTGGGCCACAGAGGGGATGCTGGGGGAGGGCAGCCGGGAGCCCCGATGGTGGGCCCGTGATGGAGAAGACGGTCCCCTCCCAGCTCCCGTGTCCTCTCCATTTCTCCCCTTGTCTTCCTCCAGGCCTCCCTGCCTGTCTTCCCCTCTCCAGCCGCTGCTCTGAGAGGGCCCAGTGCCACCTGCTGCTCCAGCCTCCCAAGCTCCGCCCTGCTGCGCCCTCCAGCGCCCCCAGGACCTCCCCTAAGGCCAGGCTGCAGCCTGATGAGAGCGCGCTGGCGAGGCCTGCCGCCAACCCTGCACTAGTGGGACGCCGATTTCCCCCCAGAAATAGGGAGTTGGCCAAACAGCGTTTCTTGATGGATATTCTCTGCTCTAATTAAAACTCTGGGCTTCTGTGTGAAGAAGAAAGAACCCGGAGCAACGAGGGCGGGAGGAGCTTTGTAACCAGGCCCAATAGACAGAGGGCGCGGCCCGTTTCCCTCCCTCAGCCCCAGGGCGTCCCCTTCCTAGAGGGCCTCGCCTCACTGGGCGGGGCCTGGCCCTGGGTCAGCCAATGAGAGTCCAGGCCCCTCCCAGATGGCTCTGGACGACCAATCCCAGGAGGACCTTTTGGCAGCTGGGCAGGGGCTGGCAAGCGGCGTGAGGGCGCCGCGAGGCGCGGGGCTGACGCGGGGACGCGGCGCCTGTCCTACCTGGTCTTTGGGTCTCCTCCTTGTGGGACCTGTTTTTGCCGAGCTTCATGGCGGAGAACACGCTCCTCCCGGCTCTGTGAGGGGGCCGCCAGAATGAGGTGCAGGGAGAGGGACGCGTGGAGGAAAACACACAAACACAGAAGAGCCAAACATGAGAGAACGTATCAGAGAAGGGAGATGGACCCGGCCCCTCACCTACTGGTCCCGAAATAGGTCGGGATCTGTCTTCCCAAATTGGGAGCCATGAGGGGGAATGAGGGCAGAGAGAGACCCCTCTACTTCCCCCTTTGCCATCCTTTCACACACAGAGGAGAGGGATGGGGTCCCCAGCAAGCAGGGAACGTGGCCTTGAGTCGGGAAGAGCCGTTTTAACTGGAGCTCCTCTGGGTCTTGGTCTTTTCAGTCTGATCCCAGCCCCTCAGTCTAGTCTCAGAGCTCCGAGCCCTGCCAATGTCCCCACGCTCATCTTCCCTGGCTCAGCTGGTTGGAGAGAAAGCCCGAGGACCGGAAACAGAGCATCTGAACAGTGGGGCAGGGACCAGAGAGGACTCAGGGACAGAGGCCGATGAGGAGATGGGAGATGTGGTTGAAACGAGCTGTTCAGTTCTCAGATGGCCTCGGTGCTCAAAGCCTGACTTGCCTTTCTCCAACCTCTCCGTGTTCTGGGATGTTCCTTGGTCCCCAAGAAAAAGGGGGAGATAGGCCCTTTCCCATCTATCTTCAGTCTTGGCTTTTGCCCCTTCTACCTGTCCCCTCTCACTGCCGAATTCCCCTTTCCCCCAACCCCAGGAACTTATGGCAGGCTCCATAGTTCCTACCTCTTCCTCTGGCTTGCTGTGGCTTTGTGCCCCCAGGCGAAGGGCCTTGCAGTCGGGGGGGCTGAGGAAAAGGGGCAGGGGTCCTCACTGCCCTTCAGTGATGTCCCTGCAGCAGAGCCTGTGGTTCCTGGCGCTAGGAAGCACCAGGAGCAGGATCAGCAGGGGGTAAAGTGCAGTGTTCCATTACCCCATCCATATTGCATGAGTGGATACCTGACTCCCTCCACTTCCCATTCTCCCTCCTCCTGGGTGTGGCCCCATCATCCTGTAGGCCAGGTGGGGCCAGGTGCAGGCTCCAACCTGGAGCTCACTTACGGCAGAGTCCACCCTTTTTGGGTCACACATCTCCCTGTGGAGGCTTGACTATGGTTTCTAAGACCCCAGATCCTTGTTCTTTATGCTGGGCAATGAGAGATTGGGGAAAACCTTTCTGTCCTCAGGCAGATGACCTAGAAACCTCAAGCCCCTCTCCTCAGGATGGTGGAGCCAATCTTATTCCCCAAACCTGGCCCTATCCCAACCCTAGGCCCTTTCTTTACTGTTCATATTCAAGACAAAGCACGTTCATATCCCAGTGAGGGAGCAATTGAGAATCACCCTTTTCACGTGGCAGTAGCTCACAATCTAGAGAACATTAGCATGTTCTTGAATTCCTAAAAAGGAATGGAAGAAGGCTGATGTGTCTGCACTCTTCAGTAGCATACCGTCTGCAATACGACAATGGGAAGAAAGGGAAAGAAAGAGGCTCTAAAATCAAAGCTGATGCCTTTGGAATTATTTTTAAAAGCTTCCTCCTTTCTGATGGGGGGAGGTGAGTTATACACACACACACACACACACACACACACACACACACACACACACACACAAAATGGCCAAACACAGACTACAGAGGGCCAAAGGCCTTTCCAGATGTCTGCAATGTCTGCAGATGTCTGCTCATCTCATCTTCCTGCAATCCTCTGAGGGCCACTTGCTTCTCCTCATTCAACCAATAAAAAGACTGAGGCTCAGAGAGGTGAAAATAATCACAAGGTCACATGGTGAGTGGCAGAACTGGGATTGAAACAGAAAGCTCCTGTGTTCTAGGCCAGGAATATTTTCACTGCATCTCGGGTCCTTTGCCTCGATGCCGTAGGACTGCACTTTTCCATGGGCATGAATCCCATCCCATCCTGACCATTTGGGATTTTAGTTAAAAGGCCCCAGGGCTGGCACCCGTAGATACAGGTATGATCTGTGTGCCGGCATAGTTTACAGATCAGGATGCTGTCATCTGTGGCATCTCATGGATCACACCCATGTTTACAAAGAAGGGGCTCATTCAAAAAGAATCTGAACACACACACATTTGGGAAGGGGCGGCTGTGCATGTTAAATTGCTGGTGACATAACATTGAACAGAACAATGAACCCACCAGAAATAATCGTGTGATGGTGGGGAAAGGACCACCCTGGCTGGCTTGCCCTGAAGCATCCTGTGGGATTTCTCCCCACCTGGTGGCCCCAAGGGCAGGAGTGCTGGCTGTCCTGCCACAGGCCCAGCCTCAGAAGTGTGGTTTCTGTGGGCCTCCTCGCGGGTCACTTCCTGTCTCAGGGCTTTCTGCCCAGGCTTGCTGCTCAACTGTGTCTCTCCTGAATTACCCAGGAGTCTTCTGCAGGGCTCAGCGTTTGACTTTGTACCATTACTTCTTGGCCATTCCTGGGCTGTGTTATTCTTGGAGTCCCCAGCCCTTCCCCATGTGTGACCTACATAGTTACCCTTTGCCATTTTAGCCTGCTCCAGCCACAGACTTCTCTCTCCCCTTCCCCTTCCCCACTTCCCCAGAGGGGAAGTGCTCTGAGATGGCAGGTCAGAAGCAGGCCCTGCCTGGAGAAGCCGGCTGCCCAGCCTGCTGGGATGGGATCTGGCCCTGCTGCCTGAGGCCCAGGGGGAGTGCAAGGTAGCAGGAAATGGTGGCTTTCAGAGGCTGGTCCCATGGACTCACCCAGGTGGAAAAGGACCTGAGGCATCCCTGGGGCACTTATGGCCCTTGAATTTGAAGGTCACTTTATTCCTTAACACAAACAGATTTGAAAGAAATGATTGAGGCTTTAAAAAACTATACTTGTCCTGGTCCGGTGCGGTGGCTCACACCTGTAATCCCAGCACTTTGGGAGGCCGAGGCAGGTGGATCATTTGAGGTCGGGAGTTCGAGACTAGCCTGATCAACATGGTGAAACCCTGTCTCTACTAAAATTAGCTGGGCGTGGTGGTGCATGCCTGTAATCCCAGTTACTCGGGAGGTTGAGGCAGGAGAATCGCTTGAACCCAGGAGGTGGAGGTTGCAGTGAGCCAAGATCGCACCACTGCACTCCAGCCTGGGCGACAGAGTGAGACTCTGTCTCAAACAAACACACAAACAGAAACTATACTTGTCCAACTATTTCTACCACACCTTAAAGCAATTCAAAGGAGAAATCTCTCCCTTCCAACCCTGCAAAATTTTAGCCCTCTGAAGTGGTAGTACTGGTAGCACTCCTGTGTGCCTGGGAATATCTCAAAAGGATATTGTCTTTGTCCCTTTGTTAAAAATGCAGAAATGTGTAGTGAAGGATGTAATTTCCAGAATTCTTACAACAGGCTCTGTACCTCTGATTGTCCTAGACTCGCTCTTCAGTGAATCTGAATTGTGATCAGTACAGCATGATGTCATCCCTGCCACCACCCTTTGTAATTTTCTGATCAGTAACACATCAGAAGTTCACTATGGAAAAGGTCTTTTCTGCCTGATTGTAGCACCAGTTCCTGGAAAGCAGTATGCCTGCTTCTCTTGGCAAACTGTAAAGGAGAGTTTTGAAATAAATGCCAACTTAATCAGAGAACTTTGAAGATTATCTATTTGTCTGAAAGACTTAGATTTCAAAAAATCTAATTTGCTGATGAGGTGTCTGTTGTCCTGGCCTTTTATTATTTTCAAAATAAAATTCTGCATTTGGTCTAGTTGAGTTCTACAATGACCAAAAATAGGATATGGTGAGAAACAGACAAAGAAAACAAGCCAATAATCAACTCAGTGAAAACTCACTTTACAACCAAATGGCTCCTTATTCTTGGGCGCATTAAAGCTTGAGAAGCGAGAGCCAAGGGGAGGCCAGTATCCCTCCAGGACCCTCTGAGGATTTAGAATTCGTTTGAGTTTCCTGTGGCTGCATTCACCGTGGTCAGAATGAAGTGCACCTACAATCTAGACTGGTATCTCTCTCTAGAGGAAAAATGCTAAAATTAGTTCACTTATTGTAAACTGTAAATCTGATGATTTCTCCACTCATTTTATGGCCCAGATTAGAAGTATATTGCTTGGCTCTGTGGTGCACACAGGGTTCTAGGAAGAGCTTAGTATTTATAATAACTTGGGAACATTCACCAAACTAAATTTAGTGACCCGAGTGTTTCATTAATTCAGGTCTCTGGGTTATTCTGAAAGTTAATAGAGACCTGACCCTAAATAAGCTGCAGGTTGAGTCCATTCACTGCCCAGGGCTTCTGCCCCATGACTGGCTTCAACTGGAACTTCTAGGCTCATTAGCTCAGGCCTCAGGTAATCAATCAGGATAAAGACTCCTATCTATGAGAAATAGGGTCTGTGGTCCTTCTTTGCATTGCTCAAATAGCCCAGTTTTCAAAACCTGAGAGCGTGTCATCCAAGCACTACTAAATGGGTTTATTTTAAAACTTTTCCATACCCCAAGACACAGGGAATTTCATAATTTCAGTCTTCACAGGTGTCTTTGAAAGTGGGTTGAATTTCAGTTCGTTTTTGAAGAGCTTCCCATAGGTGGGCAGGATAGGCTGATCCTTTACACAAGAACCACCCTGTCTCCAAACTGGCCCCTTTGCACACATGCCCACATTGTACCAGAAGGCTTGGGGTGCCCACACACTCTTGTCCTGACCCCGGGATTGTCAGGGAAGCTGTCTCTTCAGTTCTTACTGGTGGCCCAGCCCTTTGCAAGGCTCAAGCAAGCAGCATCATAGAAGATGATGGGTGATTTCCCATCTCCCCAAACCAGTCTATCCCAGAATGTCACACAATATGAGTTATTTCGTGGGTTGAATCTTGTTTCTCTACTTCAACTTAAATCTATTTCCATTTATCTCTTCTCAGTGGAGATAGATACCAACCAGCTTTGCCACACATTAACATTTCAGAGATTGAAATCTGTTCCCACAGTTTTCTCTCCTCCAGGCTAAAGAGTTTAAATTCGTTCAATCT